TATGAAGGCTTTGATTCTCATGTGATAAAGAATTGGTGAGGTCTGCAGACATCTTAGAACAAAATAGTTTGAGTTAGCAAAGAACAAAGGCACCAAACATTGAAGAAAGGTCATAAGATATGGTTTATTTTGGGGTTTGGGCACACAGAAGAGGAAAAGAGGAGTGAGTTTAACGTGTTGTTCGTCTTGGGAATGCGGGAAACACACACGCAACAGGGCAATGAAGAAGAAGAAGAAGAAGAGGAAAAAACCAAAAGCAGGGAATGGTCAGAAAGCAGTTACAGAAAGAAGATGCTCTCTGGGGACACCCATTTTGTACAGTCCATTACGTATAAGATAGAAAGAGGAAGAGAATACTAAATATGAAAACAGGGTGTTATGGACGATGATGATGATGATGTGGGTCAGATCTAGATCACTTCATTTCCTCTTCTTCTTCTCTTTTTTCTTTGGTTTCAGAGAGTTTGGTGTGGAGAAGAAGATAATGGTGGCTGGTGGACCTCATGGGGTCACCATGTGGTGTCTGTCAGAAAAGTGGAACAAAATTTAAGAAACTGGGATTTTATCTTTACAAAACCACTCCCAAAAATATATATATATATATAAATCAATAATCTGGAATACAACCGATAAATATTTTCTTCCAACAAACCAAAACACAAATAAATTTTGTAAGAGCTCAACCTCACTGCTAGTAGATATGATCTGTTTCAGTTCACTATATATCTGTTTTTAGCCTCACAGTTTTCAAACTCATATATTTTCATATATATAAGAAATGTTTCGTTCTTTTCTTACATCAATATGAGATCTTTATAGTATTCATATCAAGTAAAAGTCAACTCATCTTTATAAATTTTAATATGTATTTGAATGGTAGGTCTATATTAGAGATCTTAAAAGGGTGTGAGGGTGTGGATTAAATTTATAATTTAAAATTTTTATTAACAGAAAAGAGATGTTTTTTTATAATTATTTTCCCATTTTCACACTCTTATTTTAATTATTGAAATCCTGGACAGCTAAGCGAATTAACGGCGGGTAAAACCATGGTATGTAAAAAGCAGTGTTAAAAGATCCTATGGATTTCTTACCCTATTTGACATCATTATCATTATCTAATTTAAATCATTTTGTCACCTATTTTTTTTAATCTTTTATTACATATAATTACGCTAAATTTAATAACTAATATTTCTTTTTTTTTTTTTTATAGATATTAGAATTTTTCGTATGATTGTTTCATTCTAGTACTTATTTTAGAGATAGAAAAATAATAAAATATATAAATGACCAAGATATTATTAATTTAAAATTCCCTCTCCATATAATTATAATAATTAACTAATTAATTAATTGTAGCATGTGAGTTATGAGGAATAGTGGGAAAGGTAGAAGTACAAGCAAAGGACATTCAGCCAAGACACCACTTTTCCATAATTTATATATTCCATTAATATTCTTTTATTTCTTGTTACTCTTTTTTTTTTTTTTAATAATTTTCTTGAATTATATTTTTTGGGGTTTTATCGTTTTAATTAAGAGAAATTAGTTAGAAAAATAATTGCCAAATATATTTTTGTTTTGAAGAAAAACTACAAATTAGTTTTTTTTTTTTTTTATTTAATAATCTGTAATGTGCTGATATTCAAGCTCAATTTTAATTATATTAAATTATTAATTTTTCTTTGGACGTGGAATTTGGAAAAGGGAATGCAAAGGCACATGGGAAAAGTGAAGGCATCACGTGAGTGATTCCCTTAACAAATTCAAACTCAGCCATCTCCATAATTTTTCTTCACTAGTTTCCAACCACCATCATCATCCATTGTACAATCCATTTCCACGTGACCTGCCCAACCTTATCTCTCGTTCAGACATGGTATCAATTTATTTACGTAACAGCCTAAACTCACTGGTACTAGATATTGTCCACTTTAGCTCGCTACCATATCGTCATCAGCCTCATTAAAGCGCGTCAATAAAGAGAGATATGAGATCCCCCAATTCACCCCTAACACCATTAGTAATAGTCAAAACCCCACCACTAGTAGATATTGTCTGTTTTTTCTCGTTATGTATTGTCATATGTCTCACCGTTTTAAAATATGTCTACTATGGATATGTAAGAAATGGCTAGCACACCACCTAAGGTCACTGTTAGCCTATATTATCCAATTTAACCCATTACGTATCTCCACCAACCTTAAGGAGAAGGTTAAAGAGGACAATTACCCCTCCTTTACTAGTGTGTCACGTAAGTTAACAAGCATGCTTTATTATTTAAAAAATAAAATATGGCCTAAAGAATAATCATTAAATCTAACACTAGGGATAGTCTCTCATTACAAATTTAAATTGAAGATATTCAAGATTGTGCAGTAAGGTCAACAGATTCCATCTTATCTCACCTTTCATGATGAGAGTTGCTTTTTTAAGATTTTATGGATCTCAAACTTTATTATTTAATAATTAATGTTATGATTATAATTAACCAAACTTTTGCATGAACTTGTGTTGATTAAAACTTTATATTAACCATATGATATGTTTTAAAACTATATAATATAATAACTTCGTTGAATATATTAAACACAAAGTCAATAATGGAAGAAAAAATAATAAAATATAAAAAATGTGGGGGTATGTCTGCAAATAGTTTTATGCAAAGGATTGAAAAACTCAAACATGTCAATAATTAAATCATACTCTTCAAAATTGACAGTTCATTGGGATCTACACGCTCACATGCTCTTCTCTCTCTGAAATTCATGTAACTTTGACTTTAATTAATTATTTTATTTTATGTTTTTAAATATTATATTGCCAACTTTTTCCTGCTTCCAATTAGGTAACCAAGTGGAATTGGAGATTTAAAAATTCATTTCTAAATTTTTTTAATTTATTAATTTCAATACAAATTTGTAACGAGATAGGCCGATTATTTAAACGAGTATTAAGTTTCTTACGACATACTTATAAGAAGGAAAACTATCCCTTAAATCAACACATATCATTTTAGCACATAATAATATCAGTCATGTACCATTTCAACAGTTAAATTTAAAGAACCGACCCGTGTAAAGTTAGTTCAATTAGTTGGTTCCGGTTAGAATCGTGAATGAACGAGGATCAAACTTCTGGGTTTTCGATCGAGAATATACCCTTTGTGTTAGATGAATTATGCTCAATTTGACATTGACGTTAATTATAATTTAATAAACGAATAAATAATAAAAACAAAAAATAGGTTAAAAGAGGTAATTGTGATTATTGAGGGGGTAAATATACATGAATGAGTGAGGTTAAATCAAGGTAGCGGTCAACATTAATTACCACAGTTAGCTATTACTGTAAAAAGGATTAAAAAAAAGTTGGCTATATTATTACATCAACTACCAATAAAAACGAAGTATTTAAATCAATATTGGGGAAATTATGTAATTTATTAAATTAATGATTACTATGAATTAATTAGGTTAATTATCAATTATAGTAAATGAATGTTTGCTATAATCAAATCAATTTGTGATTAATTATTATTATTTTTTTAATGTCAAAACTTGGGCTTTTATAGGCCCATTACTTCTTTTATGGGCCGCATGAACCAAGTGGTCGATTGAAGACTATTCCAAACATACCCTTAACCCAATATTAATTTTACTTTTCATTTTAAAAGTACCCTTGCCGTGCAATAATAATTAGAATATTGGATTAAAAGTAATATTATTTTTATTTTTCATTTTAACACTATAAAATAATATTGTAATTTTTGAAAAATTAACGCATTGCATTTTGATATATTAATTGTTCTCTTTACAAATTATTAATTGGTGAAGCTTTAAATAAAAATAAACTTAAAACAAAATATAAAAATATGGGAAGAAGAAAATCAGGAGACCTAACATTTACACATAATAAATGGGGAAAAAAAAGTCAATGCTTTAAATAATATAATAAATAGGGAGAAAAAGGTAAACAGTTGGGGGATGTTGGTCAGAAGTCAAAGGGCAATAAAGGGGAGCCATCATTGAATTCCTCGTGAGATTGTAAGTTTGATTGGAGAGGGAAATGAAACATATCTTATACACGTTTTAAAGATCGTGAGACTAATGACAATACGTGACAGACTAAAACGGACAATATCTACTAGCGGCTTAAGTTGTTAGAATGGTATCAGAGCTCGTCACTGAGTAGTGTGCCAACGAGAACACTAGATAACAATATCTACTAGTGATTGATTTGAGTTGTTACGATGGTATAAAAGCCTGTCACCAAAGTAGTGTGCCAGCGAGAACCACTGAGTCCCAACAGGAGTAGATTACAATATCTATTAGTGGTATCAAAGTTAGTCACCAAGTAGCGTGCCAGCAAGAACTTTAGGTCCCAAGAGGAGTGGATTGTGAGATCTCACATCGATTGGAAAGGAGACCAAAACATATTTTATAAGTGCATTTTAAAAATCGTGAAATTGACGACAATATGTAATGGGCTAAAACGAACAATATCTTATAGCAGCGAGTCTACATTACTCTTATCTTTCTCTTTTCTTAACTCCTAATTTCTTCTCTCGCAAAATCTCCTTATCTTCGCTTAGCCTAGATGTCGCGACTCTATCTGAGTAGGGAGAAAAAATGTATTAACAATATCATAGGAATAAAAGATATAAATGTGTATCTTAAACCTAAAGCATAGGGAGTATTTAATTAATGAATGTCACGAAACCTTAAAATCTAATTTGCAGTCCAATTAAATGTTCACATAAAGTAGCTGTGCAATTAAAGTAACGGTTTTATTTTTCTTTGTTTTTGTTTTAAATTTTGTAAAATAAAAGATTAAAATTGTTATAAATATAAAATTCATATGAAATTAGATAATTCCACAATTATGTAAATACTAATAACGCTTATCTATTTGTTGGAAAAAGACACCGACTTGGATCTCAGTCATCGCTGGAGGCCGCCCATACGGTGTGCTTTGAATGCTCCATAGTCAAAGAACAAAGTATAAATTTCTTTCCTTTGAAATCCATTCATTCATTCATTCCCTTCTCTGTCGCCAAAACAGACCGCCCTCGAACTTCGCCCTCTTCAATCACTTGCCCCCATTTCTGTACTTGATGCTCCGCTAATGGGTAATTTCTGTGGCAGTCTCGCACCCAAGCCGACGAAGAAAAGGCCCACCAAGCGCCCTCTCAACCCGCCGTCGTCCGCCAATTCGAGTAAAATATGGACCCGAGGTCGTTCTTCGAGGAAAGAAAAACACAATGCTGCTCTGACTCAACAGCAAATTCTTGCCGCTGCGATTTTATTTCAACAGCACCACGGCCGCGACCCTTTTGATCGAACCTCTTCCCTTCGGTACCCGAAATCAGGGTCGAAGAATACCAACGCTTTGCCGCGTAGTTCGAGTACTCGTGCTCGGTCGCTTACCGATCCCATGCTTCAACCCCACCAACTTGTTGCCCAGGTAGAGTTTTAGTGTTTTTTTGAACCATGGTTTTTGTTTTTTTGGTGTTTTTCTCTGGATATTTAGTTTATGAATTGATGTAGCCTCCAAATTTCAAAATGGATCTTATGGTTTTTGGTTTTTGAGTTTATTTTATTTGGCGCTCAAAGAGTTAATGTGATATCACATATTGATTGAGGGAGAAAAACAAAATACCCATTATAAGAGTGTGAAAACTTTCTCTAGCAAAAGTGTTTTAAGGTCCTGAGGGGAAGCTCATAAGTAAAAGTTTAAAGAGGACAATATCTCTTAGTGGTGAACTTGGGCGGTTACAATGGTATCAAAGCTAGACACCAGACGATGTACCAGCAAGAAGGCTGTTCTCCAAAGGGGTAGACACGAGACGATGTGCCAATAAGGACGCTGGCCTCAGAATGGGAGGATTTGGTGGAGTTCCACATCAATGGGAGAAAGGAACAAGCGCTAGCAAGGGCACTGGACCCTAAATGGGGTTGAATTGTGATATCCCACATTGGTTGGGGAGGAGAACGAAACTCCCTTTATAAAGGTGTGGAAACGTTTCGCTAGCAGACACGTTTTAAAACCTTGAGGGGAAGTCCGAAAGGAAAAACCCAAAGAGGAAAATATCGGCTAGTAGTGAATTTCGGCACTGTTACAGCTAGCCAATCACATGCTATAAATGTAGTTACACAATCCGTGAAGAGTTGATGGTGAAAATTGGTTGATTTCATTTGTTTTGAGCATGCAGAATGTTAAACTTGAGGATATAGAAACAAATCATTTTGTTCTTGTCCATGGTGGTGGCTTTGGTGCATGGTGTTGGTACAAAACCATAGCACTTTTAGAAGAAGGGGGTTACAAAGCTACTGCAATAGATTTAACTGGTTCAGGAGTTCATTCGTTCGATCCAAATCGAATCACGAGCCTTTCGCAATACGTGCAGCCTCTTACTGATTTCCTTGAGAAGCTTGCTGAAGGAGAAAAGGTGCTGGAAATGGCTGTGAATGAGTAATTATGAAGTCATTCACTTATTTTCTCCTTGTCCAGCTTTGAGCTTGACATTTTGGAACATCTTTGTGCAGGTTATCTTGGTGGGACATGATTTTGGCGGTGCATGTATTGCTTATGCAATGGAATTGTTTCCTTCTAGGATTGCAAAAGCCGTATTTATTGCTGCGGCAATGTTGAGTAATGGACAGAGCACTTTAGACATGTTCTCCCACCAGGTATTCTTGCTAATCTGGATTGAAATTCTGAAGTTGCTCGTTTTGGAAGGCATGCCACATGTATTTGAATTGTGTTGTACGTTTGAATTTAAGACCCTACGAAATTTCTTTGGCTTATTTATGTTTGGCTGCCTGTTAGGAACCACGAACCTAATATTATCCACTTTGAGCATAGCCTCTCATGGCTTTGCTTTTCGTTTTCCCAAAATAAAGTACACCATAGAGCCTCTATTGAGGCTTATGGAGCCCTCAAACAGTCTCTTCTTAATCGAGACTTGACTTCTTTTTTTAGAGCTCTCGAACGAAGTACATCCTTTGTTCGATACGTGAGTCACTTTTGACTATACCTTTGAGGCTCCCAACTTCTTTGTTCTACATTTGAGGATTCTATTGACATGACTAAATTAAGGGCATGATTCTAATACCATTTTGTTTCTCCCTTAGTCCCGTAGTTGAGGTATGTGAATGGTGTCTTATTTGCCTACTGCAGGTCGGTGCAGATGACCTAATGCAGCAGGCTCAGACGTTTTCATACGCAAATGGGAACGATCATCCTCCAACTGCTATCAACTTCGAAAAATCACTGTTGTGGGACATATTTTTCCACAAAAGTCCTGCCAAGGTAACTCATAAACTTCTCATTGTGTCTTTTAATATCACAGCTTGTGGAGTTCTGTTCTATTTCTCATTGCCATTTGTATTTTTGGTCCAGGATGTTGCTCTGGCATCTGTATCAATGAGACCGATTCCATTTGCGCCTATTCTGGAAAAGCTGTGCCTTTCCGAGTCGAAATATGGATCGATCGGACGGTTTTACATCGAAACTCCAGAAGACAATGCCATTCCCATCACATTACAAGAAAGCATGATGAACAAAAGCCCCCCACAAAAGGTGTTTCGGCTAAAAGGGGCAGATCATTCCCCTTTCTTCTCAAAGCCTCAAGCTCTAAACAAGCTATTGGTAGACATCTCAAAGATTAAAACACAATCATAGCATTACTTGAGGCAGAAGCCATCAGGCCACACTGTAAGGTCAGAACAAATCAATAATGTATTGCTCATTAGACATCAACCAAAATAAAAAGTTCTGGTACTTTATTTAAACGTAAAACATGCTGTTTCCTTTGCCATCTGTGTGCTACTTCTCAGTTTGGGGGATTCATCGGATTGTTCGTCCGTTTTGGCTCATTATGTATCATCGTTAGACGTGTTTCGAGGAATTCATGGGGATTGTTGTTCGTTAGCAGATATTGTCTGTTTTGGCTCGTTACGTATCACTGTCAACCTTACTGTTTGTTTTAAGACGCGGCTGGAGAGAGGTTCCCGCACCTTTGTAAAAAATGTTTTGTTTTCCTCTCAAACTAATGTAGGAAGAGATTCTCACACCCTTACGAGGAATGTTTTGTTCTCCTCTCAAACTAACGTGGGATCTTACAATCCACCCCTTTTGGAACTTAGTGTACTCGTTGACACACCACTTGAAATCTAGCTCTGATACTATTTGTAACAGCTCAAGTCCATCATTAGTAGATATTGTCGTTAGCTTCATGATATTAAAACACATATGTTAGAAAGAGGTTTACACAACATACTCCTCTCCGATCGATGTGAGATCTTGATTTTACTAAATTATTTGTCTACTTTCGTAAATATGAGATATTTTAAGTCAAACTAAAATTAGCTAAGGTTTTTCATTTAAAAAGTGAATAATATTGATACGAGAATGGAAATTGATTTTTTTTTTTTTTAATAAAGACTTTATTTATGTTCAAAATAGTTAGTTTAGGTATTAATTTGTTTTTATTAAAATATGCAATATTTGTTTAAAGTTTAGAACAAAATTAAAATTATAAAATAAATAGATAAATAAAATGTCCCTAAAAATTATATTGTAGAAAACAATAAGGATCGAGTGATTAACAAGAAGTAGGATCAAATTAATTCACAACAAAATTAGCATAATTATTATTTATTTATTAAATATTTGTCCACGTAAATATATACATTTATATATATATATTATATATATATATCCGAAATACAAAAGAAGAGGGAATTTATAAGGAGAATAGATTTTAGTTCACGCAACTGTGGCACGTGAGAATCACAAGCTTTAAGCGCCTAGGGTTTTCTGCAGCTTCCCTTGGCGCCTTGCTCTACTGTAACAAAAGCGCGGGGGGGAGAAAGAATCTTGGATTTGTTTGAGAGGTTCTTCAATGGCGACTGTCGTTGAAACCTCCGAGGAAGATGCAGCTCTCACCGTCGTCCGCTTTGCCTCTGAGCTTGCTTGGGCCGACGCCGGTCCCGAGGTTCCTAATCTTTAATTCTTTTAATCTTTCAAATCAGTTTTGGTGCTTTGGCAGCGCCGTCCACATCTCGACTTTGTGGATTGCACTAGGTTTTGGTTTACAACTTCATCGAAACTTTTTTTTGATTGCTCAATCGTCTATAATGTTTTTTCTTATTGTTAAAAGGAAAGAAAAAAAAAAAAAAAAACCTCTAGAATTACGGTTGTTGATTTATTCTGTCGGAAATTGAAAATTATGATAAGTTGTAGCGATTTTTTGATTTAGTCTGTCGGAAATTGGAGAACATGTACATGTAGTTCAGGTAATTGGCGGGGCGTATGCTACGGCTAATGTTTTCCACATACGCCGGAAGATATGGAAAACAGTGCTTATTGAGCACTGTGAAGATATTTGTCCGTTAGCATTATTTACATAATCTTGCTATATCAACACGGGTTGCGATTAGATTTTAGGTGCCTTTATATTTGTGCAGAAGTAAAGAGTTAAGGAAAATGTATATTGCTTATATAATCTATTTTTTCTGCCTAATTTGAGGTCTTACATAACGAGAATAAATGTTTTTTTTCCCCTTCCCTTATGTTTTTAAGCACTACAATTTGTTCTTTTGTCTGTGATGTCGACTAAAATACACTCCGCTTTTTAACTGAATGAATCATCATATTGCAGATTATTTGTTAGTACTGTGGATTATTAATCGGCGTTTTTCTTTATTTGTAGGCTGCTGAGCCACAAGTTAATAGACTCTGCGTTGAAGCTCAAGAATGTATGGTTATGGGAAGATGGGTGGATTTGGCATCTTTAATGCTGGCTTCTACCGACGTGATATTTTCAAAAGTTTCTGAAAAAGGTAAATATAGTTTGAAATTGAGAACTATGAATCTCCAGGACTTTTTATTAATTTGTTTGGGGGGGGGGAGGGGATGGCGAACCAATTTCTCTGTATTTTTGTTTTCAAGGGTTGTGATTGTGACACAATGAAGGTCGTTGAGGTTGCTTCTTTTATTGGTATTATTCTTCTTAAGTGGAGCGATAGACATGTCTGCATGGAGACAAGTTTTTTTTTTTTTTTTTTTTTTTTTTTTTTTTTTTTTTTTTTT